AGAAAAAATACCAAACCTGCCACATATGCAAGGGCATAAAAGCCACTACTCACACAAATGACACTCTGTAGAGAAAAACATTGAGCTTCCTAATGCTCCCACCACTCTCACATTTCTCTTTTCAGCCCAACCAAGACAGTAAAATGCTCCCTTTATTGCTGACAAGAGTCTGAGACATGTCCTGCTTTCCATTGCTGTACCCGTCATATAACATAGGAGTTATTTTTCTTTTCAGGGCTTGTAAAAGAAGGCAGTTCCTAGGCTTGTTAAGGAAGATCTGCTGATGCTCACCTCCCAGGTCACAGATCTGCCTGAAAGGGGAAAGGTCAAATGCAGCAAGAACATCTCTGCCACATATACTCCACACTGAGTTCTGGCCAGCCATGAATTTCAGCATTTCTTCTTCTGATCTAGTAATGCAAACAGCCACAGCACATAGAAAAGGTAACTTAGAATATCCTTGGTGATTCCTATCATATAACTGTTATTAAAAGTTTTAGATTAAACACTAATCTTTGTTTTTATTGACACTGCATACATTTTCTTTCCATATAAACCTACCTCGAGTCTTACTATAGCAGAAGGGTGCAGCTATACATTTAAATAGGGAATTAAGACTAGCGAAATCCAACAGTATATTACACCGCTAATTCTCAGGCTTCCGAAGCATTCTTTTTTCCTTCGGCTACCATTACCTCTGTGCCAGAGACCTGTGATGCTTTTCAGAATAGGAAATTATATACTTCTATTCAAAATATCAGACAGTGTCCCAGTAATGGATATTGTTGAGAAAGGAGAATGCTGCATGATGGTTCTGATGACTGGGATTCTCACATCATCATTTAATTGTCCTGATCCATAATTAAAAACATTATTTTTATCTACAATAAGAATAAAATTTCTATAAACCTAGTAATGATCACCTGTACATTGCTCCAAAAACATCTTTAGATGAAACGCCAAAAGCTCTTTCATATTGGTTTCTTCCTTCTCTAAAACAGCAATCAAGAAAAAGCATATGAGTGTGGATTTCTTCTTCTTTCACCCAAACCCACCTTGGGGCTGCAGTTTCAGCTAGTTCATTGGTGTGGAAGGTGGTCAACTTTGCACAGAATACATGCCAGCCTGTTTGTAATGGCTGTAAAGGCACCCTCACTTGGCACCCCAAAACATGCTGATGTATGTCTCAACCTTTCACAAGAATGGTTCTTTTCAAGGCCAGGTTGGATGGGTAGCAAGGTAGCAGAAGGTATGTCTGCCCATTGCAGGGGGGGTGGAACTGGATGATCTTTAAGGTCCCTTGCAACCCAAACCATTCCGTAATTCTATGATTTATGGGAACACATCTCGGGTAAAGGTGCAAGACTGGTGCAATCATCACCATCACACACACCATGTTTGATCATAGGCTGCATGGACTGGAACAAGTGAGACTCCAGACCCATATTAAACTACTCCTATACACCTTTGCAAGAAAAGTATCCTTAGCAACAGAAGTATCCTTAGCCATCATTGCTCATCATTTACTTTGTTGATGCCTCTTCAAGAGCCACCGTAATGACCAAGTGCTTTCCTGAAGGTCAATCACGCAGAAATCTGATTCCTAGATCATCGCTAGCATCAGAAGGAAAAGGAAAACAAGAACACACACAAATGGAAACCGAGAAAAAATAAGAACACATATTGGCTTTGTTAACAGCCAAAATGATCTGTTGTATTTTCTTTCTGAGAAGAAGCCAGCATCTTCACTGAGCCCTTCCCCAGAAACGCACCGCCCTGAGAGCAGCCACACAGACACCACAAAGCAGTCTGCAACAGAGAGCGCACAAGACTCCTCCTTACCGCACAGCGTCGGCCAGGTAGTGCCAGCACAAGTAGACTGTGTTGGAGTAATACATCATAATATGATACTGAGACTTAGGACTTGACTTTGTAAGGTAGGTGTTGGAAATTTCTGTGTTTCTGTAGAGGGCTAAAGGGTGAAATAAATATATTTACTAACATGTATGATATACCACCTCACCAAGCCTATCACACAGCGTGGTACTTATCACCAGAAGATGTCTGTATGACCAAAGACATTGCTTCTACAGTCAATCCTTCCACTGCAATGAGCAGCGGGTGAGGGCTGCTGAAATGCGTGTTGCCCCATTTGATGTGAGTAAACACTACCTACCTACACTTACTCCAGCACCAAACATTTCTTTCAAGAACAGCAAGAGGAATGCCTTACAAGTGTCATCGTTTACCTAGAGGCTTTTACCATCAGAGGAAGCTATTGGTATGCTCTATTTAAATAAGAAGCCCTTGCATACATGTTCTTTTTTTCTAATCAACAAAGTCAGCAAGTGGGAGACAAGTCCCCAAAACATCATGCCAACCACATCTACTCTCAGTTCACTAGGGCAGGACCTTCTGCAGACAGATGAAAACCCAAAGGACTTACAGAAATCTGCCCCGCTTTCTCCAATGCGTCTGCAGTAGTGTCACTTGCCCACGGGACTGGCATACAAAAGGAGTATAAAAGATAAATCCTGCTCTCCCTAAACTCATTGGGCAACTACTGTAAGACCTAAAACAGGGCAAGGCAATACAAGCCAGAGCTGGGGACACAACTTGTAAGACTCTAGCTAGTCCTGACCAGCTCTCTGATGGCCACAGATCCCTTCTGACCACAAGGACTCAACATCTCTGTTGTAAGGGCAAACTCTCAGTTCAGATCAACATCCTAACAAAATACTTCACATGGCGGTAGAACCCCAAAGAAAGTAAAAACATGTGTTTAAATTGTGCTGTTGCCCATCCACCCTGGTATTTTTTTTTAAGGTTTAAAATCATGCCCACACCTCAGACTTTTGTTGAGACCAGCTCTGCAGAGACTCTGAGTATCTTCTCCAAGGTCACCTGAGGCTCTTGCACAAAGAAGTTTAGGGATATTGAGCCCTTCACCTGGGTTTTACTTTACACCTTTAATTATGCTGACATTTGCTGCTTCTCTTTCAGCTGAAGAAGGGATGGTGTTCTCAAGCAATTCTCTCCTCCTTCCAGCTACAGTAACTGGCCTAACACTAGATATCACCTGTTCCCACACACCTCACCTCACTTGCAAAACCATCAGAGGTTTAAGTCTTTTAGTTTCTTCCCCTTCTTCTGCCTTTACTACCTCCTTCTTGTGTCAAGTCTGCTGCCAAGAGCTTCAATCCCACACAGGCGTCCAGCAGTCTTTCCATCCCCGTGGTGCTGGTACCCAAGCGTGCAGCAATGGCATCTGAAGACAGAGGCTCTCCTGACTCCAGCAGAAGATCAAACACCCCCAACTCACAAGCAGTGAACATAACCTGGGGATAAGAAAAGGTGGGAGAGAGGGATCAGGTGAAACTACCAAAACCTATTGCATTTCTAAAGCTGCTTTGTTGGAGAAAATATACAGATAATAATATTTTTTCATGTAAAATCATATTTCATATAAACAAGTCCAGTGATTAAACTGAAGTTTCTCTGAACACCATTAATACTATCCAGTGCCTGTAGCGCAGCTTTTTTCATTTTTTTTTTCCTTTTCTAGCAAATCCAGACAATGATTTTGGTTCACAAAGGTCCACATTTAGAGACCAGGTTTTGGGTGTGAATGTTCCTGCCTCTTTCTTAGTTTCAGAGCACATTCTCAGTCTCTCTTGCTTTTTACCTGGAGAGCACAAAGGCAAGACTGTGTGGTGGTGGTGTTTTCTGTTGTTGTTTTTGTTCTTTAGCTAAGGATCTAATGTATGCTCCAGTAAACCCTGGAGGCTCTCCTGTGGCTTGCAGCAGGGAGGAACATCCCACTCTATGGACCCTATTTTCAGGGACTGATGTGCATGACTACAGTGGTCTCCCCGAGGCAGGGAGGTTCCTCTCAGCCAAAAGGAGTGCCTCATTCGGGCCAGCAGAACTGCCCTGTCTTTTCAAAGAGAAGGAAGGTGTGTAATGTCTCCAGGAACAACCCACAACCTTCAGACAGACATATGTAACCGTACATAAGAAAAACATCCTTCTTTAGCTGTACACAGTCACGTTGACAAGTATTAGCCCATTTCTCCGGCCACACAAACACTCCTAAAATAGTAACAAAGGCATCAACTCAATTGACTGCCTGTATCTACAATGATTTGATAAAGTCCACGAGAAGCTCCTTTTACCCTCAGGAAAAACATGGTTTAACCGAAGTTGAGATCATTTCTCAAAAACATCGTGCCAGCATTAATTTGGAAAGCATTGGGCACTCCTCACCAAGCAAAAGGATTTTTCATTATCCATTTTTTTCTTCTCTTTACTGTCAGCTCTGCCTTTCAGAAGCCTTAGGATGCAGCAGCATTTGCACAACCCAAAGAGCATTCCTCACATTACCATGTTGGCTAGTGGTGAGGCAAGGGACAATAGGAAAGATAACTAAATAGTAAATGAGGAAAAAATCTCCACTGCAGTGGATATTACAATTTTATGCCCATGTGCTTACACACACAGAAAGGCAAATAACATCAATAAACAATACAGAAAGTGGAACTACTAGTTCTAGCTTTGTGCCTTAAACAGATGCTGTTTGGAAAAACAGTCATTATACTGGACTCTTTCTTTCACCTGAAAAAAGGCAATACACAGAAGTTCTCAAGCTCAGCCTTCTGCATAATACATACAGACAAACCATGGGAGAGGGAAGTAAACTATTTGAGAAGATATTTGAAAAATCTTGTTCTTTGCATGGCATGTCGGGGGAGAAAAAGGCAATTGAATTCAGCCCTCTGTTTCTCAAACTCCAAAAATGAAAAGTGAGAAGAAATCCCACCACAGAAGGAACCTTCCACATTTGAGGCAGTGAGACAGCAAGCCCTCAGCTATAAACCCCTATGGTTTTCTATAAAGCCTCATGCAGAGACAAGGTCTGCTCATCCAAGCCCCCAAAGGTCAGAGAGGTCTCAATAAAAGCTAAGTCTATCCTGAGGGGTCAAGTCATTTTCAAATCCTTTTTCTTTTCAAATTTCCTTGCTGCCTAAATAAGCAGACAGGATGCTTTTGTACGAGATTATTTTAATTCCAAAGACTTACATTCGGGACCTAAAGTGAGATCCTTGAATATTTCTGTCTGCATACTCTCAGACATCTATCCAAGACTGAGTTATATTCCTTACCTTTGAGACTAAAAATCCATTGCTGTATTGCAAGATGATTTGAGGGTAGTCAAGGTCTTCCGTGGAAACCATCTTCTTTCTGGACTGAGGCACAGATTCTCTGCTCCTCTTAATTTAAATAAGCTTCTTTCCATCAGGCACAGAGTACACACCAGATGATCCACTTAATCTTATTCCTTCTGAGAAACACACTGGTTACAAAACATGCTAGCTAAGTTATTTGGCTTCAATGGGTCTTTCTACCAGGTTCACCTGTTTCTTTGGCTCTTCCATCAACAAGGCTAAAGAAGCAGTGCGGATTAAAGCTTGTACCGTCAGTTCAGCAGTCGGTTAACCCCCTGGTGCTTCAGAAGCACTTGGGAGCTTGTCACGAGCTTGTAACAAGAAATCACTACAGAACAGCGTCAGGAACCTGAACTCGGTGCAATGCACCAGCGTTCCTAAACCAAAGCGGGGTCTTACCTGGGGCTTGTTCAAAAGCAGCTCTACTCCAGCAGGCTGGGATTTTGATGCTGGAAGACTTCCCAAGAATAGAAACCCTTACAAATGTCAGTCAGCCCAATGATGTGACCTCAGAGAAAGGACAATAATTTGGCAACACAATTCTTCAAGTGAAATGTGGACATTCCCAGGGGTTTAAGGGCAAAAGAGTATCAGCTCAGCTCAAAGCAGTCACAGCATACTCCTGGCCAAGCCTGGCATCTCCCATGGCCCTAATGCAACTCACCCGTTGCTCAGATGTATGCACAGCACTTACCTTCACCATGCTGAAACAGAGACTTGTTCATCCTCGGGCTCTGGGTCATGGACCAAGGGCCTCAGACCTTACCCATGCAAGGAAAATGACTGACATAATTCCTACACAGCAGGCAAGAGCTTCCAAGGAAATAATCTGAGAGCAGAATCCACATAGGGAGCTGAAGGAGAAGAAAGCATCCTACCACAGTCTGGGCCTGGAGTAATTTTCACCCAGGTGTGAAAAACCTGGGTGTGCTTCCCTGGCCTGGTTTGCAAGCCATGCCCACAGAAAGGATAAAACAAATGTGTAGCCAGAGGGGAGCTGAAACTTGCTGTGATGGGTGACCCTGGGGCTGGCAGTAGGGTACACGCCATCCCTAGGTGCAGAAGCAGCCAGCCTGAAGAGAAGCTGCAAGAGTCACTTTGCTGTCCTGCTTTGTTGCAGTGACTAGTTTGTTCTGACTCAGGTGAAGTCTACGAGGAATTAAATCTACTCTTGATCCTTTTCCGTATTTTGCAGGTACCCCCCACATACTGGCTTAGAAAGTGTTAGCCTGTTTGATAGCAGCACCACAGCAGGGGTATGCTACTTGTGCTTTGCCATGGTTTGGCAGAGCAGGGTGCTGAGCGACACCAAAACGTTCTATGTTTTCCAGCTGGCTGCCACAGTCTTCCTCCCCTTCTCTGCAAAACTAACCAGGGGTGTGCAGAAAGTCGTTGGGAAGAAACAACAAAATGACTGCCAAGTGCCAGATGTGGCATGGACTTCAACTCCACGCAGAACATGCCTCATAGATCTTTCATCAGAAAATCAAACCCCTGGATTACTTTCCTGAAACCTCTCTGCCCCGCTGTCTATTGCTCCAGCTTGTAAATGCCTGCCATCTTGCCTGCCTTGCCCTTTTTGGGCAGATGCTGCGACTCTCAGGTGAGAAAAGACCCTTTGCATCGAGGAAAGACTCAGTTTTTATATCACACATGTAGTGACCCTTCAGACCACAACAGTAAATGAGAAATGACTTGGGTAATATAGTGAAGGCAAAATGTCATGAAACAGCATGTTTTTCAGTGGTAGCTTTCTCCATGCTTCAGCGATTAAGTTAACGGGCAAAACTTGAGCAATACAGTGAGCAGCATGCAGATCAACATTTTGTTTACATTAGCTTGGTGTATGCTTAGGACTACACTTTATAACTTTGTCCCAACACAATATTTCAATGTTCTTTTACTTTCCTATGAAGTAGAGCTATATCTATATGCTGCTGCTGCTGCAGTTTAGTTCTCTGCTTCTCTTTTGAACCTGCCTCATTTTAGAAGAAACAGGCCAGTATAAAAGTTTTCTACATGTTCCTTCTGACTATTTTGTGGATAAAGCAAAACTTTCTCAACTGAAAGGTTCCACTGTATAATCCTTCTATGAATCTGCATTTTCCATTCAGACCCCTACATTTCATGTGTGTGTTTTAGCCAGTAGTGAAATAGCAGCCTACTTTAAGAGTTAGTTGTTAAAGTTAGCTAAGCGGATGTCATAGTTTTCAGTCTTTTCCCCACTCTGCACACAGCTTAGAAACAGTACCCATTTCCCAGGTTCTAACACCACAGGGTCTCCTGTGTTACCAGAGCACCAGGTCCAAACATACAAAAGTTATGGCAAACACCAAACTGTAGAAACACTTAGACCTCCTCACCCTGGCCAACATAGCCTGCAAATACAGTGCTATTGCCTTGCTGGTGCACCAGACGTCACAGTTCGGTACAGGTTAGACACTAATATTCTGTTTGGTTTGTACTGTTGAAGCTGGAGATCACAACACACCTCTCTGCCAGAGTGACTCAGAATCTGTGCAGCTTGCATCATTTAACAAGACACCGTGTCTCTGAAGGAAAAGCCTGGACAACAGATTTCAAGAACAGAGCTACATTCATAATAGGTATCTTCCCCTGACATCCCCACCTCAAGGACAGTGCACAATCTCAGTTCCTATTTAGGAACTTCCATTGGCACATGCACTAAGTGCGAGTCTGCGGAGTTCATTCACTTGCCCAAATCTAGACTCACTCTTAGTGAATGCACTACGTTTTCTTTCAGTTCCTCAGATGCATTCCAAAGAGCTATATGGGAAAAGAAAGCTCAAAACCTTCTCACTAAGTTTCCATCCATATGGATAACCAGGTTGACCTCTCTCCCTCAATAGTTTTCCCTCTCCTCTGATTAAAACAGAGAAACAAATTGTACATAAGATAAATATTGTTAACCAGAAGATTAAAAAGGTGTAGGAAAATAAAAAGATTTCTCTGCTAAAGGCCTGTTCTGCTTGCCTGCTACTGAGAAACAAATTGGTGCCATTTTGCCCAAGCATAAAGTTTTCCCATTTCTGGGATCATAACAGCTATTCAGACCCAGGCCATCAGCCACACAGGAAGCAAATGCTCGTCACGCTGAAGTATACATTTCTCTTCTGTTGAGCTAAACAGAACAACTCTAGGAAGAGCTAGCTGCTGCTCACCAGCTTACAGACCACTTTCCTCAAATGACTCAGCCAGACTGGTAATCAGATAATACAGTGATATTTAGTACAGCTGCATTAAAGATTCATGAATACAAAAATGCTCAACCCTTGAACCTTGTAGTTTTGACTAAGTAACAGTTTTGTGCACAACTGTAGACTAGCATCTTCTAACACGCCATAAATTCACTTCACTTAAGACAAAGTTACAGTACAAGAGGCTCTGGTAATAAAATGACTGCACGGTTAATTAAAATCACTTGAAATACTTTTTCAATTATGACTAAATCTGTCTGTTGAGGACACCAGATGTAATCGTCTAATGGGATTACTACCAGTAGAGAGGGGTAGGAGAGGAGGGTTGTGGACAACCCACACCAGGCTGGTGCAAAGCCACACACAGCGTGCTGCTGTTTCCAAGTAAAGTGTTAGTGAGGCTTAAACTCTAAGCTGCTTTTAAGCTACAAATGCATTCATGAAGATGAAATCATAATGGTTTGCTTTCTTTGAAAACCCCATCAAAGGTTTTGTCGTAGCGCTTAGACTGTGCACAGGCTAAAGCTGTTACTTTACCTCCACGGTTCTATTCTGGTGATGAATTTTTCTTTGCCAAAATGACTCACTACGGACAAATACTACACAAAAAATAATGGTGTCACTTTTGCACAACATTTTAAGGTAAGAAATGACCTACGAACAAAGCAGATTTAGTAAAATTAATGTCTGTGAGTGAGAAATGGCAGATGACACTATTTTCATACATGCAACCTTCCTTACAAGCAACAAATACAAATCTCAGGGACATGACTATGATAATGAATTTCAGTAATGCCAGCATGGAAACAACTGTGCCTCACTATCATTGTTAAGCCTCTAAGTATGCCCAGCTTCTATCAGGTGGCCTGGAAGTGCACTAAGATAATACAGTTCGTGCCCTTTTTTTTTTTTTTCTTTTTTTTTGGGAATCCTAAAAAGCCAAGACCCTCAGTATCATACTTTTTCTTTGAAATAGAACATCCAGTTTTAACAAAATGCTTTTTCTTCTTTTTAACTTGTAATTCTTCTCAGGTTTTGCAATAGATGCATTTCCCTAGGAACAAGACTGTTGCTTCTATCAGTTTTTGACACCAACTAGTTTTATTTTTTTTCCTGCTTGCATCACACCTGTTACAGGCAGACTTTGGAGTGGGCAGGAAATCCTGTACACCCAGCTCATTCTCTAAGCAAACCCTCCCTCCTCCTCAGTTTTCCTTATAGTAAAAACTTGGACTGAGAATGTCTTTTAAAGTCTATCACAAGCAATCCAGAGTTGGTTTTGGTTTAAATTCCTGGCCTGCAAATAATGTCTCAACAAATAATTCAACCAAATAATCACTGAGGTCTCTGTCAGGGGAAAGTCCCAGCAGATAAGAGGTGCAGCCTCCCTGAGGACAGACAGGTTCACTAGCTAAAAATGGGAGAGGCCAAAACTTGAGAGAGAGAGAGATGCAAGAAGAAAACCAAGACAGAGAGCAGCTGAGGCAGGCTCTCATGTCAGAAATGACTTGTGCTCTGTCAGGCATCAGAGAAAATCAGTGGACACACTACTGCCTTGAATGGGCCATTTTATACTTGCTAATCTGACAATCTTCTCCTCCATTTCTTCAAAAAGAGAACTTCAGAAAGAAGTGTTCTTGTGGCTTGGCATGGGCAGGCACCCCTTGAAGTCCTTTTACATGGACTCAAATGTTTTTTACAGCCTTATCCTGTCTGCAGGTGTGCTGGTTTTGGCTGGGATAGAGTTAATTTCCTTCACTGTAGCTAGTATGGGAATATGTTTTAGATTTCTGACCAAAACAGTGTTG